ACAGTTTCGTATACCCTTACACCGTAACTTCAAAATAACAAACTGAAGATTCGTTTGATTGGTTTGATGATATTTGGTATTGACTAGTTGAATGCAACGATTATTTTTTTACTTTGCAGAAGTAATTAAACTAGCCAAAACTAGTTAAACTATTTTTTAATATCTTTAACTGTAGTAATGAATGTACGAGGGTTGATCCAAAAGTAATGTCACGGTGTCCATATCTTTTATATTTTGCATCATATTATCAAATACAATACACCAAAAGATGCACAAATTTGAATCTAATTAACATTGAAATTTTAATTTAATAATGTTTATTTGAATTTATTTTATAGATGTTTAAAACATAAAACATAGGAGGTGTCGCCGCGTCACAACGGAACGTCACGTTTTAAAGCGTATTTTTTCTTTAATGAAAAAGACAAACACATTAAAAAGATTCTAAAAAAGCACCTATTCTCCCATTTTCATATAAGACACAATTCTCGTTATTTTCTAGTCTTTAATTGATAATTAAATGACGGCATTGGTATTTGTGATCATAAACATTGTTGTTTTACTCTGTTGAATTGAACAAAGGGATATGTCGAAATGGGAAAAAACGGCTCGACGACTTGTAATGCATTTTTACTTCAAAATATAGGAATCATCACAAGTGATAGTTACGTTAATTAATCAGATTTACAGAATAAAGAATGTAAATAAGAGACATCTTAATAGATGGTTTCAGCAATTTTGGGTGGGTGATTGGTCACTGAATGATCAACAGAGGACAGGAAGACCAAAAGATAGGAGATCTGACGGAAACATTCAATGGTGTCTGACGTTGTCAAAAAAGATAGACATATAGAGTGACACGTGAATTTTTAAGTTCGTCTTATGCTAAAGATTAAAAAATTTTGACAGAGGGTTAATTATGAAAAGAGTGGGTGTATAATGGTACCAAGAATTCTTAAAGAAAGTGTAATTGGTGAAAGTGTTTGCGAATCACAAATATGTTTTAATGAAAGGAAAGAAAAACGCTTAAAAGTATGACAGTGCGTATCCGTCATATGACGTTATATTAGGTGCGGCGATCACCATAAACGCACATTGTTTAAAATCCGATATTTTGGAAAGTATACATCATATTCCCTTGAATTTTTCAGGTCTGATTTGGAATAAACAAAGCTTCCGTCATGTGTAATTTTGTTGCATTATGTCGATTAATAGCAATTTTGTCAAAGTTGTGACATTACTTTTGGATCAACCCTCGTATTTTAAATATATGTGCAAAATTTCCTGAGACCATTTTGTACCTTTTTATGATTGATAGAGTTTTTTTTCTCATATTATCTTAAATTAAGTTAAAGATTATAAAGTAAATGATAACGATGATCTGACGAAGGATCATTTATTCCTTGGGCGGTACTATATTTCTTTACTAATAAAGCCTGACAAACATTATTATGAATCATTAAATGTTTTACCAGAGGTTTCCTTACAGTGAAATTTCATAAACTTACATTTTAGTGAAACCACCATTCCTTAAAAATCGTTAATCAATACCAGGTAGTATTTTCTTCACATTTATCAATGCTTTATAACATTTCTAATAAATTTACATTTTTGTAGTTTCAAATGTCTTCGTTAAGAATCACAATTTGAAAAGTTTTTCTTTTCCATATACCCAATTTTTATGAGACAGATTGCATTTTGTTTATTTCACATATTTTTTGTTTTTCATCATTCTGTTGTAGTCTTTTTGGTTTTAATCAGTTTTATTTCAAGACAGCATTGTGGATGCATCAGAAAATGTATAAGTTTTGAAAAAAAAAGTCAAAACGTAAGGTCCTTATTCTCCATGATTCAAATAGAAAAAAATGTTGATCGTAATTGACTGCATGTAGTACTATAAATTGAGGTTCTATTTTATTGCATTCTGCTAGTCTCCTGACCTTACATTGACTATCATGTGAATACCTTATCACTAGAGAAGATTTAAGCCCTGCTCAGACAGAATGGAAAATTGCCTTAGAAAATCTGACAGACTGTTGACAAGTCACCCGATAATTAGCTGACGTCATATAGTACCTGCTTTGTGATCAATGTTACAAAAAGTCGATGTAGATACAGTAGCTGTATCAAACAGTTCTCGTATTTTGAGAACAGCTAGGTTTTAAGTACCTTGGGAAATTGTTTTCGACGAAATTAATTTACTTTTGATTTAATTTTAGCAAAAAATGGTAAAAAAAATATATGATCTTACTTAAAATGAGAGCAAAAAAAAAATAAATAAAAAATGAAAATTTCGAAATTTAACTTAGATTTCATGAAATATTAATTTTATGAATTTTTTTAGCACAGAGATCGAAAAGATGGAAATATACTGTAATGATTTTTATTTTTTGCAGTTTATGTTTTTTTAGTTGACTTTAAAAATTGTTTTACGTTTTTGAAATGTTGACAAAGAGTTGAGCTTCAAGACGCACCATTTATTTTACATGTCCTTTGAGATGAATACTCAAAACAAGGACATCATGTGTTCGTTCGTTTGTTCGTGTTTCAAATAAAAAAGTAACTGTCGGTATAATAACAAAGTAGTCAGGTTTTACGGTATTTAACTGTTAATAACATGGATATTTTTTACATTTTGTTTTGTGTTGGATTACTATGTTTAGTGACAATTTAAAGCAGCAAACAATTATTCGAATTTTGAAATCACCCACAACTCCTTGTCCAAGATCACTATCAAGGATTTAGCGCCTTTCCTGTAACTTAATAGTACTGATAAACTTAGCTGCAGCTCTCTGCTTGGGAAAATTCGGACAGATAAAGCAGAGAGCTACAGATCCAAGTGTTGTAAAAATCTCCGATTTACGCCGAATTTTCTCAAGCATAGAGCTACAGTTCTGCAGCTATGATAAACTGTAACATTAATAACTTGCCACCGCAATGAAATAATGTGCCAAATGATTTTTAAAAAATTAAAATCCTATTTGATTGCCGCAAGAAGTGCTGACCAACAGAAAAATATATTTCGGAATATTTTTTTCTTGTCTTCCACCTGCTGCATTCCATAGAAAAAAGTTGCGAGACGAGCCTGACATAATTATCAGCTGTAACACTACGAAAATATGATATATATACAATGAATTCTAGTTAGGAATCCATTTAAAATGCCATTATGCAATTATTTTCTTGAATAAAATAAATCCAATGTTTATATGAAACATATGGAGATAACGAAAAGTATTCAAGAACAAAAGTCTATAAAACAATACAAAATAGGAGCAGATCAAACACGGACTTCTCAAACATCAGACGTGTGATCAGGTGCCATGGAGGAGTGAGGATTTCCTGCCGACCGATCAAACTCGCCGTGTGCTCATTGTCATGATTAGGTAATTCTGCTTCGTATAAATACAAAATTAAGTCTGTTAATAACTGAGTGCAATTGGTACTCATGGGAAATTCAATAGATTGTTGGAAAGCCTGGTGTCCAAAAACAATCAGAAACTAAAGCGTATTTTTATGTGATCTTCGGGGTATTGTGTATACAATCAGAATGTCTTTCTTACAAAATAATTTTGCAAAACACCAATGACAAGTTACATTGAAAGTAAATTTACGAGATCCATTTTTATTGAAAAAGCAGCTGTCCATGATATCAAAAACCTGGAATTTTATTTATCGTAAGGATGTATTGTAGAAGAAGGATATGGAGATAACGACCAGTATTCAATCTCAAAGTCTATAAAACAATACAACATAGAAGCAGAGCAAACACGGACCTCCGAAACATCAGAGGTGGGATCAGGTGCTATGGAGGAATGAGCATCCCCTGCTGACCGGTCACACCCGCAATGTGCTCCTTGTCATGATCGGGAAATAACGGAAAAACCCGTCGTCAATTCAATGTATAAATAATGGACTAACAATTGGTATGAAAAACGTCAGTCAGCATGTGACTCAATGATAAATTGTATATGCTGAAGTATGTACAAAAGTTGTAAGGTTTTAAACTGTTGATTTGAGAAAAAGTTGTGATGTCAAATTGTCCAAATGTTCCTTGGATTTTCCTTAGCATTACACCACTTCTTGAAGATATTGTTGCACAGTACTTTTGAAATTTCTCCGTCACTACTGTGAATATTTTAGTGAGGAGCAGTGAAAGAAGCTTGGTTGAGCAACCATTGGATTCCGCTTTTTATCTTTGTTTGTAAGGATTTTTATGACGTTTCGGAATCCAATATAGATATGGCAGATACTATGAGTATAAGATGGGTTACCAGTCTTAGAATTAAATCCAAGTTCTTCTGAAATACAATTTATATAATGAGCCTTACAAACGAACACAGTGTTGTTACCTGCTTTATCAGCAGAGACAAGTACATACTTATCATGTATTCTATTTAATTCTTTTCACTTCTGGATTTTTGAATACAGAAGGATAGATGGTTTTCATATATTCTCCTCAATCTTTTAATACTCAATTGTAACATAGTTCTGATACATCTAATCCATTCTGACAAAGTGTCAACGTCTTCTTTTTATATCTTGTCCATCGCCAGGCGTAATCCTGTACAAAATCCATAATGTTTATGATACCTGGGGATTCAGGGTTCCCATGTTTTGGGCGTTTCAAAATAAGTGATCTAAGGTCCTTATTATTAACTATTTTTACGTCACCTGTAATAAGATGTCCTACAGAACTAGAGTTATAGGGTGAACAAAAACATGAACACGATGGAGTATTATGTTTCAGATATACGATATCCAAGCTCTGAAAGTTTTCTTGTAATTAAAAAGTACGGAAGCAATAGTCGATGTTTATTTGTATTAATTCTATTTTCCTAATTGAATCGGTATTTGTACTATTCCCAGTTGGTAGAAAAAGCTCTGTTAAATACAGACTCATGCTGATGATGCAACTGAACTTTATCTATCATACAATTCACCAACTAGCATTAAAATTTACTTGAAATCTCATGAATTACAAATGCAGATAAGTTTACATAGATCACAAGGTTTTTCTAATATCAATTCTGATCAAAATATTCCTATCATACAATAATAAAAGAGGTCAGAAAACCTTGATAACGTTGGAAGCATAACTACTTCTATGTTAATAGGTGCTTTTATTTGCAGGGTTATAAAGCAAATGACATTTTAAAAGGAAAAAGTTTAAAAGCAATACTAGAAAACAAATTAAAAGAAGTAATGATACTTTCATATTAAAACAATATTTATGTGTTCGAATATGAGATAAACAGATCAATTCAAAAATCATTTTATTTGTTTTCTTAATCGGTATTTCCATGAAATCTGTATCATACACTAAAACAAACACAACTACAGAAACAGAGAATTGTTTGTACATCATTGTGGTGAATTAACTGTCTTAAATGAGCAATGTTTCATGTTTCTCAGCAGTTCCTGTTCATGTTTCAAAATGAAAAACTTAGTAAAGGATCTGACAAATATAATACTTTTAATACCTCTTACTTTTTCGGGAAAGAGACTTGCAAAATCGTCTCAATTTGAGTTCAAGTTTTGAAACAAAACGAAGTATATTAGCATTTCCATAGTGAAATATGTTCATATACTAGTAGGTGAAACTGTATCAGGTAATTAAATATATTATTTACAATGAATATGCCTTATAATTGTTAGTGTACCGGACTAATTCTCCTCATTCAACTCAAATATATCACGCTTTCTCGTTGGAATGATTAGAAAGTGATGGATGTGAGTAGAGTTTTCTCCTGCCACTGCAAGACTGGCGTGCGAATTTAACAGTCGTCGTCATCGATGTTTGCCTTGACAATGGAATGTCTCCGTACTTAAATCGACCAATTCTTAAACAGCAAAAACATTTCTTAAAGAAATTTCGAAAAGCACTGCGAAATTTTCTGTTCATCCAGAAGTAAACAAATGGATTGTAACAAGAATGGCTGGCGGAAATGACTTCACACGTGATCCACATATACCGGATGTTCTTCACGTTAATGAATATCTCTGGATTTTCATCCGTCGCCAGTTGTAGAGTATGTAAAGGGAGCCAGCAGATAGCATAAAGAAGAACCACTACGATCATCATTTTCACCATCTATTAAAAAAAAAAAGAAAATTAAAAATGGAATTAAATCACATTGTCATACCTTATTTTTATTTATCTTACATTTGTATGTGTGTTTGTTTGTTTGTTTTTGTGTTTATTTTGCATCTATAAATCTTATAGCCCTGATGGAAAAGGAATTTTAATTGGAATTAAAACTTTAATATCTCCTTGCTTCGAAATGATTTATTTAAAAAAAATCAATAGTGTATCGTACAGCTTAAATTGTGCAGTGGTTTTTTCCTATCACCACAATGCTAAAATCTCAAATCACTCTTATGTTTTTTTTTAAAATTTGACTGCAGGAAATGTTCTAACCCTGAACTTTTTCTTGATATTAAAAAAAATCGAAACTCAGTCGAACTAAATCTTAGTCACAGAAAGCATTACTAGTATTCCTTGAATAGAACCCGAAGCTTTTATCTGATGTTATTTACTCAACGATAAATACAGGTATACGTTTAACGTAATAAAAGGTAATGATCTCATTAGTATTCATGATTAAACATACAAATAGCGAGTAACTTGGAAAAAAATTCTTAAATTATTGAATAATATTATGTTTCAGGTCCACTTGATATGCTGCAAACAACTTTTCAGAATTAGAAACTTATTTTTCTTTTAAGTAAGTTTTCAGCTTTGTTTGATCGATGTGACGTTCATACTTCAAGTAACAAGTTGATTTAGAAAACTGGTTATTATTTGATCAGTGTAATTACTTTAATAAATTATGTACAAGTTTAGGTAATAAAAGATGATGCATGCATTAATAAAAGAAAAATAGTCAATGTGTTATCCCTCGAGCTCGGTTCAGAAAAGACCTGCAATTATTTCTAGAAAGGCTGCTTGTTTGATCCCGTAAAAAATCACGAAACTAATTATAGTCATATTTTTGGAAGACACATGCTGATGATGTCATTTTATACAAAAACGAAGAATAATTATGAGTAAAAATACGTATAGTTATCGAGTTTTATTTCTTCGGGGAAACATTTTTTCGTTATTAGAGGATTTTTAATCAATATATGACAACTTTTATTTATTACCATATTTTACAGTAAGTATAAAAAAGTTAGTAAGAAAAATTCAATATTGCAGGCATTTGAAGCCAAGTGATTAAAAAAACGACGAAGAATATAAATGGGAGTACTGAATGATCTGGAAATTTTCATGCCATTGCTGAACTTTTTTCTATTGATTTTATTTAATGCATTTGAAACATGCATTAATGAAATATAGAGATAACGAGTAGTATTCAAGTTTAAAGTTCATAAAACAAAATTGAAACAAACACGGACCTCCAAAACATCCGAGGTGGGATCAGGTGCCATGGAGGAGTGAGCAACCCCTGCTCTTAATATATATGATACAATATATCATTAAGTCGAATGATGTCTGATGTTTTTCATACTAATTGTTAGTCCATTATAGAAATGTTTGTATACCTTACAGGTCATTTATTTGTTTATTTGCCAATATTTTCTATCTCCTTTGAAGAAAAAACATTTTTAAAAAACTAAATGTTTTGTTGCCAGCGCTTTGAGATTTTAGTTATAGTGATTTATTTTTTTAATACTCCGAACCTGATTATAACGCCTTTTAGTAATTTATGATATATGTAATGCTTTTATTTCTAATTTGATAGTTGAATACTGCATATTCTTGACATGAAAGGTTTATGGCGGGTGTGAGCGACAGCGGGAAACGATAGCTAATTCTAGCTACCTTTTATCGTCCTGTTTTCAAATTTTGAATTGTATGAATCTATTTTCTTGAAAATGGATTACATAGACATACAATACTGATTGAGTACCATTCCTGGTATAAACATGTTCATTTTCACGTTCATTTCCTCATATTAACATGCAATACAATTCCCTCGACATGCAAGCTTATTATTTTGGCATGCAAGTTACCGATCCATTTAGAGAACTTGTTTTTAAAGAGACAAGTGATCATTTATCGTTGAAAGAGTTACCCGTACTTTTAAACAACAATTTTAAAGAATCGCCATCTGATTAACACCACTTCTCGAGTATATTGATGCACATTACACCTGAAGTTTCCTCCTTGTCTACTATTAATAATTTTGTAAGGAGTCAATAAAGGTTCGGAAGAACATTTTCTGTGTTTTGTTTTTAAGGATTTTCATGAAGTTTGAGAATCCAATATAGAGAAAGTAATTCAAATTCTTTCTGGTTGTTTTGTTCATGTTATACTCCATGTGGACTTTTTTAAAGCCTTTTACACCTTTTGGCAAAGATTATTCACAAAAACAGAACAAAAAACAAAAAGGGAAGTGTTGAAATAATCCAATCATAAAATGAACTATATTTAAGTGATTTAAACGAGGCTTATCGCAGAAAACGGTGCAGAAATGTTAATGAGGAGTGATTATGTTCTCGAATTGACAGAGACGATGTTCGACAATATACCCATTATTGATGTTTTCATTCTAGAGGATGTCAAAATGATGGTGTACACAAATGTTTTAACAATATGAACCATATTACCCATAATACGACCCTTTGGTAGGTTATATTTGTTAACAAAGTCGTTAAAACGAGCAAAAAAGGTATGAAATATCGTCCCTAGGGAGATTGTAGAAATCCCTGTCTACAGTGGTTCTTGAGAAGAAGATTTTCAAAGTTTTTTCCTATATATTTCTATGTAAAACTTGGATTCCCTATTGCGGCCCAGTCCTACCCAGGGGTTCATGATTTGAACTATTTAGAATCTACACTACCCCAGGATGCTTCCACATAGGATTCAGCTTTTCTGGCCCAGTGGTTCTTGAGAAGAAGATTTTAAAAGTTTTTCCCTATATATTTCTATGTAAAACTTTGATTCCCTATTGTGGCCCAGCCCTACCCCGGGGGTCATGAATTGATCAATTTAGAATTTACACTACCCCAGGATGCTTCCACATAAGATTCAGCTTTTCTGGCCTAGTGATTCTTGAGAAGAAGATTTTTTAATGACTCCACCCTATTTTTGTATTTTCTTGATTATCTCCCCTTGGAAGGGAACTTGGCCCTTGATTTTAACAATTTGAATTCCCCTTCACCCAAGGATGCTTTGTACCAAGTTTGGCCCAGTGGTTCTTGAGAAGAAGTTGAAAATGTGAAAAGTTAACAGACGGACGGACGGACAGACAGCTAGACGGACGGACGGACGAACAACGGGTGATCAGAAAAGCTCACTTGAGCTTTCAGTTCAGGTGAACTAAAAATGAGTGAAAACGACATCGTGTAAGAAGATCTAAAGAATTATTTTTTTAAAAATCAGAAATTGTAGTTATCCGAGTTGTCTGAACTTCAGACAGATAGTGAAACTTGAATCCATTGCTTTATTACGTCGATACGATATATCCTGAATAGCTTGAGATAAAAGATACCCCAGAGTCTGACAAATCTGTTTCATACTTTGATATTTTACTTGAAAAAGACGTTAGTGGTAATCTAACAACCAAGCTATATGATAAACTGATGACTTTAACTTTTCTATCCTCAACTTCCCTTACTTTGCAGCAATATACTTTCATCGCCTGCAAACGGAGTGTATATATCTCAGCTGATTCGATACGCAAGAGCATGCTCTACGTATGTACAATTTCTAAAACGAGGTAAATTATTGACAAGCAAGTTGATGAAACAAGAATATTGTCAGTCGCGTTTAAAGTCATCATTTTGTAAGTTCTATGGTCAATACAATGACCTTGTCAGCAAATACAGTTTATCATTGAGTCAAATGCTGTCTGACGTTTTTCATACTAATTGTTAGTCCATTATTTATACACTGAATTGACGACGGATTTTTCCGTTATTTCCCGATCATGACAAGGAGCACACGGCGGGTGTGACCGGTCAGCTGGGGATGCTTACTCCTCCATGGCACATGATCCCACCTTTGATGTTTTGGAGGTCAGTGTTTGCCCTGCTCTTATTTTGTATTGTTTTATGGAGTTTGATATTGAATGCTGCTCGTTATCTCCATATCCTTCTCTATTTTTAAAAAAAATGTTGAGGGCATCTCGTTTTTCATATGATTTAGTTGTTACCTGCCCTTATCCTCTACATTCAGTAAAAAATATGTAACATATGTTGCAGACTCTCTGGTTATTTTATTTTAAGCTCAGTGGGATATCAAATCAACATATGCTTCTACAAAAAAAAAGATTTCAATTTTATGACTAAAATCAGAGTTTTTTAGTGTTCTCGAAATTCTAGACGGTCGTTCAAAAGTTATCCAGGTAAACTGCAGTGCAAAGGAATAATATGTGTTCACCTGTATCGGCATTTAGACTGATGAGATAACGTTTACAAAAAATGCAGATCCTTCTATTTTCCTCTTTTCAGTTTTCTATATGTCAAATATCAAAATATCAAAATATGTTAAAAATTAATCTGAATTGCCATTTAAATTATTGACTGATCCCATGAATTCTGAATTGCATATTTAGAGTGATAAGTTCGAAGTATTTTTTAAACGTATGTCAAGGTGAGAAATTTGTTTTATGAATGTGAAAATTGTTTGCGGTGTACATAAATTTGATTTCTAGAATTTGTGATAAGGTTCATGATTAAGTGGTAAATAGACATTAGTGTTAATAAAGGATGTAAGCTTGGGATATAAATTGTGCAGAGAAATGGTCGTCAGGTGGAGGTCTAGGGATGGCTAAGATAATATATGTCATATGATGCTTTAGTTTTCATGCTGTTTGAAATAAAGAAAACTTATTTTGTTATTGTTCGGTTGCATGCCAAATAAATGCTAAGACAAGATGCATTTCTCGCTCTTTGGCTATGTTGGAAGTCTTTATCTTGACAGCAAACTGAAAGTCAGGTTCAGGACATTTATATTTTCATATGTAATCATTTTGTTACATCAATTAATGTTACATTACTCAATGGCAATATAACAAGCTAATTCTATGATAAACGTGATGTAACATTTCGATCGTTTACTTCTCTTACTTATACAGCAATATA